TTAAATAACCAAAACGCTCATAAAATGCATAATAAGCATCCGATTTTTTGCACATCCTAATATTTTTACCAAAACAAGATCTGATGTGAAGGTGGGATATATCGGACCACTCCTTTGAATACCTTCTTCCTTCTGATACCTCACCCAAAATGGATCAATATTTTGAATAAACAATCATTAGGCAACTTAAAACAACCTAATGCTACACAAGATCTACTAGGGAGATATAATATATATGTCCTCTCTTTCTGGTACCTCCCGTGTGTATATGGGTTATGTTGACCCACTCTTTCCGCTGACTTGCGCAAAAAGCTGTCACGTCCAATTATTACATCAGACATAAGCAAAATAGACAATATTGTTCTACTTCATCGGTAGATCTCCTATAAATTTTGAATAATAATAAAACATGTCAAAATATATCTGAATAAACCGATAAAGGCTGAGCGTATAAATCTGTTGGTAAAACCGACTGATGCTCTTTAACTTATTGTCATGAATTTTAGTAATTTCATTGCATCGCTGAAGCTTGAATCATTCCACTCCGTCAGGGTATATTAACTTTGTCATTGCGTCGTATATACTCAAAATAATCCCATTAGACCCTACAAAGAATATATATTCCCGATGTCCGTTTATCCGTTATATCAGGAATTACGGTACAATTAGGCATTCTGGATATTCCTTCACTGCGTAGCACTTATATTCGTAGACCACATTACTCACCACAGACAGACCTATCGAAGATAGATGTGGCTTACACGGACGACTTGAACATGCTGTCGAATGTGACCCCTAGAATCTTGCGGTAATTCGTGGTCTGGAGTTAGATATTAAAAAGTTTCGAAGAAATCACCCTACCTTGGGGAACTTATTTTTCCATTCTATGAAGTTTGGTTTTCTTGTTCCGAAAATCCAAGTACTGCAGGTGTTCAAAAATAAAGTTTATTATCCCAAGATTCACACATGGCCGGAGGGTTCATCTCTCGACTTTCTTAAACAATGGAGTGGTATTTAACACCTTTGACAAGTCACAAGAGCTACCCGCACTGCCATCGTGCCATCACGACTTGTTCTTGTCTAATCCTCGACGAATATTTAAGGATATGAAGTGTAATGTTGTTGTGACACTGAGTTGTGGATGTAATCCGTGTGGGACGGCCTATTCTGTTACGTGGGGAGAGTAAAACCTCTAGAGTCTTTGCTACTGGCGGCAAAAGCGTAATTGGCCTGTGTAATTCGCCATTTTCCATGCTTCGGGAATGATGGGTGTGGCTGGCGACAGGTTGAGGGTTTTAGTGCGATTCCGGTGTATTCAGCTGTTGGAAGACTTTGCGTTTCGGATAACATACGCAACATTACCCATTGTAAACTGTAGTCGTACCTTCTCGGTGGGAAGAAATCTTATTCGACGGTTCGACCTCAGGTGCTCGACAAGCTGCCTATAAAAGTGACCAACGTACAACTTCATGACTGCCGTCTATCCTTTGATTTTTGGTGTTTATTATTATATCTGCAAAACTTTTCTGAACATCAGATGTTCTGGGCAGTTCTCCGAAGCGAAGGTTGGTGATCTCTTTGATTTCTGGCCAGCGAGCTTTCCCATGGTTAAGGAAAGTGCGATGTTTAGAGGTATTCAAAGGTTTTCAGGCGAACAGCTTTTGAAGACGATTATCGAGAGATGGTGTGAACAATGAGAAATGACTGACTCCTCGTATTCAGGTGGGGGCATCCTCAATTACAATGCAATGCTGTCCTTACCTAGGACAGAAGGCTACAGTTCATGGTGCGTATATTCTTGAGCTAATATTCGGCAACTAACGCGCTTCACAACTATTGCCCGGCTGGACATCTACCCCATACATTCCATGTATGGGTCACTAGAGACTAGCTCAGGCGAGATAGGTCTGTATTGAAAAAAATGATCTAACAGGAAAGCTTATTCTCCATCTTCAGTTCTGATGCGATCCTTCCTTAATACTTTGTTACCACAAAAATCCGAAGCAGGCATTCCGATATATGCTGCTACAAAGTAGAAAATGGTGGCATCCACTTGCCGGAACAGAAATGTTATTATTCCGGGTCAATCTGGCATCGTAGAGCCCGTCGCTCTGAGTGAATCAGCAGGGTCGTACACAGAAATGTATTTCGGCCAAAAATATGGCAGAAAAATAGTCCTTTTGGGCAAAAGTGGGCACCCAGTGTATATATCTGGTGATCAAGTTCGTAAATGGGTCATGTCAGTACACGTTTTCTTATAGGCTCCATAAAACGGTGTCTTCCGATATTCAACTTCACGCTTTTATAATTCTAATGGGATAGTCTCTACTTGTCGAATGTTGAAATATCAGATAATTCAAAATAACGGGAGGACTCGTTAAATGGGGCTACACAAAAACGTGGACATATTTCGACCGAGTTAGTCAAACCCTCAAAATACCAGAAATTTATAGGTGTAGCTATACGAAAATGTTAACCAACTGGATTTTGTACATCATTAGCTGTTGCGGAATATATTTAGGCAACACTGTCATATGGACCCTTGTTCAATACCTTTCCAATACAAAACATTTTTGCAAATGAGGGTTTCAAATATATGAAATTGTAGCAATTTTTTTAGAATTGTGTCTAATATTCTACAGGCTACTATTTTATGAAGGGCCTTGTATGACAGCTGTATCTGAAGGTGCCCTCAGCCTTATACCTATTTGAAACGGACAAACCGTGACTCTTGAAAATACAGATATTTGAATTTTATATAATACTAGCTGAACCCGGTGCGCTTCGCTACCCCTTTTGATTTTATATGCATTCAAAATTTTATTTACGAATATATGTTGGATAAAGAAAAACAGTAACATGACATGCATACACAAAGGGTTTGTCCTTTGGATTTATTTATTTCATAGCAAATACCAAGCGTGCAGGAAACTGCAATTTTTTTAAGTAGAGTGGCATTTCCATTGCAATTAGTGAATTCGAGATAGCAACATACTTCGCCGTAATAAGCTTATTTCAAATCAATTGTTGTGTTGTTTTTTAGTGTTAGCCTAAGGCGTTGTGGGTCAATGGTTCTTATTAAAATCATATCCCAATCTGATCTGATTTAAATATAATTTTAAAAAAATTACTTTTACACCAAACTCCGCCACACCTTTCATATTTCATTGAAATTGGTGCGTCAAATATGTGAATATGGGAGCTGTATCCAAATCTTAACTAATTTCCAATTAATTTATCACATTTATTATTATAACCAAATTCCGCCACACATTCTGAATTTCATTGGAATCGGTCATATATATCGTGTTTGGTGCATAATATGTATGAAATCGGCCGAAATATATATGTTAGCTATATCCAAACCTCAACTGATTTCAATATAATTTGGCAATTTTTGCTGGTGCCAGATTTTGTCTCTATCGCTTTGGGTGCATCAAATATGTGAAATCGGCTGAGTATATATATGGGAGCTATAATCACATCTGAGCGTATTTGAATATAATTTGTCAAATTTATTTTTGTACCAAATTTAGCCACTCATGCCGAATTTCGTTGGAATCGTAAATACGTATCGTGTTTTGTGCATCAAATATGTGAAATCGGCGGAAAATATATATGGGAGCTATATCCAAATCTGAACCGATTTTAATATAATTTAACTAATATATTTTCTAATTAAAATCCCGTCACACCTTCCCAATTTCATTGGAATCGAACATACATATCGTGTTTGGTGCATCAAATAAACGAAATCGGTTGAATATATATGTTGGAGCTATATCCAAATCTGAACCGATTTCAATATAATTTGACAAATTTATTTTCGGATTAAATCCCGTCACACATTCCAAATTTCATTGGAATCGAACATTCATATTGTGTTTGAGGCATCAAATGAACGAAATCGGTCGAAAATATATATGGGAGCTATAACCAAATCTGAACCGATTACAATATAAATTGGCAAACTTATTTTTGTTCCGAATTCCGTTACGTATTCCAAATTTGGAGACTGTATCTTCAACCAATCAATAGATATGTGCATATAAAATCTAAATTTTTGGGAGGTACCTCCGATTCTGATGCTATATCTCCAGTTCCAAGTGGAAATTCAAAAATGTATATAGCCTATGTTACTTTTAGGCGATGTTGCAGTATATATGGAAATTTTCAGGAAAATCTATTCAGCGGTTTTCGAGTCCATAAATTACAAACAAACAAACAAACAAACAAACAAACATACAAACATTTTCCTCTTTTATAGATATAGAAGAAGAAGAGAGAAGATTGGATTTTATAATCCATGACAGGCCGGTGGGCCTGTACAAAATGCGTTACTAGAGACGCATACGTTCGTAGTTTTATTTGTCCAGCAAACTATTGCAATCAATTGTTTATTTATTCCAGAAAACTTTTTTGCCAGTAACCTCAAAAAAAAATCGAAATTATGCAAATTAGAATACCGACCACACACAGTGTTATTATTACAGTTATATATTATAATTTGTTGTTTTTTCAAATAATTAAAAATATATTATATATTTGTTGTTGTTTTTGTTTCATTTCCCTTTCCGTTTTCTTTTTATATTTTTCTATTTCTGGTATAAATATTTTACTTTGAACTCATTACCAAAAAATAAAATCGAACCATGACTATTTTTTGTATATTAATTTTTCGAAACATATTCCCCCCACCTTAATGTGCGTGCGTGTGTATGTGTGCGTAATTTTAACTATCAAATATATATATTATTTGTATTACTATTTCCTTTATGACCTCTCGAAAATAAAAATTATAAAAAAATATATTTTTTAAAAAAAAAACTCCCCCCTAATCTCCTTTACTTTATTTTCTTCTCTGTCTTCCCCTAATCACCGAACAAAATATGCCATCTAAAAATGATTTCTTTTCTTCCCATTTTTTTTTTTACTTTTCCTTTGGATTTTCCTTTGTGGTAATTTCCCTCCTCCCCCGGAATCTTTTTATGTGGTCTTGTTGTTTCTTTTTTTTTCTCTCCTTTGTTGTTGTTGTTTCTTTTTCTCCGTTCATTGTACATTTCAGGGAGGCTACCTAGATGGATTACGTTCACATTTGGGTGGTTTAACACAACGTGTCAAATCATGGTATTGGGGACGACCTCTTGTAAGTGCAATTGTATTTTTCATTTGAATGCAAAACCAAATTCAAAACCCAAAAATTAAAAAATAAATAAACGAATTACAACAAAAACAAACTCGAATCCAAAAAACCATAAACAATATTTATTTTTTTGAAATGCACAATTCTTTCTTACAAAAACAAAAAATAAATTCTTTGAAATCCAAAATATTTTAAAAGAATTTCTTAAAAAAATCCCAAAAGTTTGCAAAAATATTTTTTTGTTTTTTTTTTTCTTTCTTTAAAATAAATATATTTTTATAAATAGTTTAGAGTTTTTTTCCATTTTCAGTTTAGCCAGTAGGTTTCTTCAATCTTAGTTCTCTGATTTTGTCTTCAAATTGTGATCAATTGTTGTTGTTGTCTTTGTTTTAAGTTTGCCAAAATTTAGTTGTTTTCTTGACATCTGATGAATAATTCCGAATAGAAAAAAAACTGAATATGTTTCCAAATCAACAGCTTGCTTTGACAAAACTCACTCTCAATTCCGAACCACCATTAATAACAACACCCTACCACCCCACCTACCACTACTAACTAACTAACTTACTTACCTACTAACCAAGCAGTCAGTCAGTTTCAGTCTATGTTTCTAACCTTAAAAAAAAATAAAACCAAAATCTCCGTTTTAGTTGCACTTTGAATTTCAATTTAGTTTTAGAATTCTTTGTCTCAAGTTCTTTAAATAAAAACAGTAAATTAACCTAGAATTTTTGTAAATCATTGTAAATGATAATCCTCCCTACCTTCCTAAACACTCGAATCAAATCGTATTGACTCAAACCAAACCAAAACCTTAACTAAAGCAATTCTGTCAATTATGTGTAAGTATAGCGAGTTACTTTCTTTATCAGTTTCCAATTTTTTTCCTTCTCTTTATATGTGTCTGTGATTGTCATTATTTATTTAAGTTGTTTTTCTTCAATAAAAAAAAAAATCATATTCTCAAAAAAAAAAAATCAAAATAATAATAATCCCAAAAATAAAACTAGAACAACTGCCACCAAAAAAAAGTTTGTTAAAATAGCAAAAAAACTAGAAAGAAATTCAAAGAAAGCTTGAAAAATATAATTGCACCATAACGCATGAGTCACCCTGTATTTGTTTTATGTAAAATATTTTCGAAATACACTCAAACATGGCTATATCTAATAAACAATTATATATAATTTTATAAAATTAAATAACATTTGAAAATGAATGCACTTGTAATCCCTATAGCCCTGTTTGCCTGTAACATCATCACTTAGTTTAGTTGTGACTTTCTTTCAATCCTGTTTCTATTGTTTTCCAATCATGCACCACTCCATATAATGTAATTATTTATTATTTTCCTTATAGTTAGTTTCCAATTAAATTCTAATTTTTTTGTTTATTTTTTCGATGTTTAGATGTAGTTCTTATTTTGTTTTTAAATATTTTAAATAACGGGAGACTATGTTGGGCGATTGGTAAGAGTGATTCCGAAAAAGTACATGGGAAAATATGGTCATAAATTAAAACCAGTAAAGTAAGTCCTAAAGTCGTTCAAGGCCGACTTTACGATACCCTACACCACTTTGCTAATTTAGTAGAGCTCCACATAACAATTAAAAGTTTTTATGGGAGAATTCAATCATACACGCTATGATTATAATTATAATTTAAAGTTCAAAAGACTAAATATGCCGAAGCATTTGTATCTTTTAAATTTGGACTTCTATTTGCCCATTTAAAATATATATGAGAGCTATATCCAAATCTGAACCGATCTTGATAAAATTTGCAAAGATATTTCTAAGCTGTATTTCATATATTTCCCTGAATATCGTTGTTACGGAGTGCATATTACGGCTGTGAGTAACAAATCGGATGAACAATATATATGGGAGCTATAGCTATATCTGAACCGATTTGATCAAATTTGGCATACTTATTTTCAGGTCCAATCTGATCGTACGTGCTAAATTCCATACTATTCGGACTGATATTACACGTTTGGTGCACAATAAAAACCAAATCGGACGAAGATATATATGGGAGCTATATCTAAATTTTGACCGATTACCTCCAATTTCAATAGGGTTCTTGGGCCAAACAAATGACTTGTGCAAAGTTTCATCTGGATAGGGCAATAAATGCGAACTGTACTTTGTTTACAAAAATACATGGACAGACGGTAGGACATGCATAAATCGACTCAGAATGTGATTCTATGCAGATCATCAAAAGGAACTATGGGTCTATCTCGTTTCCTTTTGCCTGTTACAAACAAATGCACAAAGACATAATACCCTGACCACCTTGTGGTGTAGGGTATAAATAGAATATATTAACTTAAAATATCAAACCCTTTATATTAAAATAAAAAAACGTGAAATTGCGAAATCATATTACAATCCAAATTGATTGGAAAATGTGGCAGAAATCTTAAAAATACTGAAAATCGAAAGGTACGGTTATATGGGGACTATACCAACTAGTGGGCCTGAATTTTATTTTTTATTCGTTTACACGAAGAGACAGACCTATCGAAACCCTTAAAATATCAAGCTTCAGCTGATTTGGTTGGAAATTGTGGCGGAAACCTTCAAATCAACCGAAAATCGGAAGGTGTCGTTATATGGGGGCTATACCAATTAGTGAGCCTGCATCGAATATTATTTTCAGGGAGAGAACAGACCTACCGAAAACCCCAAATGTCAAGTTTGGAAATTGTGACAGAAACCTTCAAAATATCAAAACATTGACCAATATATCCGAAGTAAGCAAAGGCTATAGTCAGGCGGGTCCGACAATATTATACCCTACAACACTACAATATGTTCGAAGTCCCCTTATGTCCAAATCCATTTTGGAAGATTTCGTTTTTGAAATAATGTAAAAGAACCCTGCCCAGAAGTTACCCTTAGCTTTTTGACCCGGGGAATTTGGCCAATATTTACGCACTCCATCTTGTTGCTAGGTATTCAAAACAATTTCACACAGAAGTTGTGGTCCATTTTCCAGATATACTCATCTAAAATGCTAGACTTGAATGCTAGACTAGACTAGATGTACACCTACAAAAACAATATCCTTTAATAATACCCACAAAACGTAGTGTTGCGGGGTGTAAAAATTTAGAAAATGCGATAAATAATATGACAAATGTTGAAAAAAAATTAACAAAAAATATTCACTTTTTAATTGGTATATTTTTCAGGGATTTTCTTTGATTCTATCCTTTTCTGGATAGAGACCATTCCGAATTGATGAGAGTTGGGGAATTGGGGAAAATCGGCCCAGCGCTTCTTGACTTATAAGCAGAATTAGAAATATTCGCAGTTTAGTGGAAATTTTCGTATTTTCTTACAAAAAAGTTAGACCCTAACTTTTTCACCCGCTAAATATTGACAGTCGGACGACTTATGAAATACATACCTTTTTGCATGCAGGAGGGTATAAACTGATTCCAGCGCAAGAAACTCAAACAATTATTTAAATAAGCACTTCAAGCGATTCTAATACGCACTCAAGTAAAGGTACGACAAACATAATTGAAGGTCTGAAAACTCCTCTCTTCACCTACCGATCTCTCATATTATAATGGGAAAGTAAGAAATATTTCCTCACTTCAAAAAAAAAAAAAAAAAACCGTCGCGATGTAGGATTGTTGTCTATTTGCAAAAAGTCAGAATTCCGATGTTGATTGTCAGATGGTTAACAGAGTGTATGTAATCGAGGAAAATGTTTAGGTTACAGACCACTTGAAGGCAATCGGAAACTATGATGTATAGGCGTCGGGACTTCAGATAATCGAACAACACTATATACTTGTTCACGCCAGGTTTATGATGTCTCGAAAAGTACTTTGCGCTACCCGAATATCAGAAGGTTTAAACTCTTCTCAGAAGCGAAGGTTGATATACTCTCTAACGATTAAACATTTTTTCTCAGTGAGGACTGATCGCCTTTGCTAATTAGCCCGGATAGGATGCAACAATTGTTATAAACCTGATAATTTATAATAGACTGTTAAATGAAAATCCCCATATTTTATACAAAGGTACGAGTTATAGAAATTGAATTAATAATCTTTATATATTACTAGCTGAACCCGGTGCGCTTCGATACCCCCTTTTTCAAAATTTCATATACGAATATCTTTTGGATTAAAAAAATAATAAAATAAATTCAAAAATGTTATAAAAATAATTATTGTAATACTTTAATGTGTAAACAAACAAATAGCTCGGTCTACCAACGCGTGAACACAGCTGACCATGGGAAAAGCAAAGATATGCCAAATTTAGTCCGCGTATACAAAGGATTTAGCCGAGAATATATACTTATAATTTATTATTGTAACAAAAATCCGCCACACAATCTGAATTTCATTGGAATCGGACATACATATCGTATTTGGTACATAACATACATGAAATCGGCTGAAATATAAATATATAGGAGCTATATATACCCAAACCTCAACCGATAGATATGTGCATATAAAATCTACTTCTTTGCCATATCTCCAGTTCCAAGTGGCATTTCAAAAAATTTTAATAGCCTATGTTACTTTCAGGCGACTTTCTAGTATACTTGGAAATTTTCAGAAAAATCTGTTCAGTTCGAGTCCATAAATTACAAACAAACATACAAACATCTTCCTCTTTTATAGATACAGAGAAGAAGATATGTGATGTGATTATATACTTGTATAATGCGATGGGTTGCAAATGCAAACCATTAAATACCGACAAAAACCTCCACATTTGCAACCTTACGCCAAGACACTTCATTGAACTAAAAATGATATTAAACAGCGGCGATAGAACTAATCTTATGCTTTACCTCGTTATATCTGCGAACTAATAAACTCTCGACTGTGAAATTAAACCTTATTATTCTTCCCCATCGCCCAACATAGATCCTTTTATTAATTTGTTATTAAATTTATCAAAAACAAAAATAAAACACCTTGTAGTTTAGTGTTGTTTAGCTTCTGTCATTTGATTTTAGAG